CTTCTTGTTGTTGTTCTTGAGTTCATTCTTGCATGATTCATGTTAATTTGTAGAGCTAAGTCATGATTTGGTCCATAAATGATGGATTGAAGATCATTTCTTGCATGCATGTTGGTATTGTTGCATTTTGAGATTGATTACATGGACATTGGTACATGCATGCTCATATTGTTGTTATAGACCATGTTTTCATCTGATTTTGGAAAGAAATGAGCTCATTTGAGCAAGCTTTGGAGCTTCAATTTGGTTTAAAACCATGCATGACATGTTTGAATGTTGTTCTTACCGTTGTGTCAGGTATTCTTTCTATTTGTGCACAAAATGCATATGTATTGATTGATTCGGGGTCTACGCATTCTTATGTATCGCATGCTTTCTCACGGAAATTGAATAGACCCTTAGAACCTATGAACTATCTGCTAGCCGTATCATGACCCGTAGGGGGATCCATGACATGTGCTTATATGTACCCCGCATGGTATGTCCTTTATTTCTGAACTGTACTGTGGCATCCTTAGTATCTACGGTTTACTGTTACTGTTACTGTTACAGAGATCTCTGTCGGTTCCCTCGTGGAACCACTACTGTTTACTGACTGATGGCCATCATTACTGTTCGGTCTTTCAAGACCTACTGTTACTGTTATGCTAATGGATGTACCACATATGACTGTTTACTGTACTGAGCAACTGAATTACTGATTGAAATGAACTGTTTTCATACTGTAAGGACATTCATTCTAAACCTCTTTACGCTTTATGTTATTCACTGGGCTTTAGCTCACTGCTCATATATATATGTAGGTGTACAGGCACCAGACCGCAGCTAGAGGCGTCAGGGTTACTCCAGTTTTGTCAAGCCAGCCTTTGTGCCTCACTGCGAGGTTCCGAGTTGCCATGCTATGGCTTGGGGGGGTTTTGTCTGTTTTTTCCCCTTCTGTACTGTTTTATTGTTTTGTATAGACCGTGCTGTTTTGTACAGACGGAATGTTTTCTGTACTGTTCTGTAGGGTTGAGTCCCTAGTTGAATGATTGTAAATATTGTGTATACTGTTCTGCACTGTTTATGTATAAATGTGTGAAAAGTCCTTTTGCATACAGAATGTCACAGCTCAATGGACACTATTTATTTACTGTATTGGCTTCCGCCAGGCCCTGTACTCTGTCTTACTGTATTACTGTTCTGCAGGCCTTCGGTAATCTCGGATTACTGGCCGGTTACGGTGCTAAACCCATAGGGCCGGGTTTGGGTCGTGACATGTATATAGAACCAATGTGTTTATATACGTTTTGTGTAGAGGAGGAGATAGGGGATGTACCTCTAAACCGGATAGGTATTGGGAGGGGATAGGGGATGAACTCCGTAGACAGAGCTCATATGCTTGTCTAGAGAAGTGAAGATAGAGCTCATATGCTTATCTTTGTGAAGTGTGGATACAGCTTATATGCTTATCTATGGATATTGTTGATATACATATCTGTTGTAGAATGTGGATACAGCTTATATGCTTATCTGTGGATATTGTTGTTATACATATCTGTATGAATGTGGATATAGCTTTTATGCTTATCTGAATGTGAGATATAGTTTTTGTACATATCTGTGGAAATAATGATAGAGCTAGCATGCTTATCTGTTGAAAAGGGGAAAATGAAAAGTAATTGGGACTTGTAAGTCGTTGACATAAATATGTTATTTATGTGATTGTATCAGTGTTGACCAACTATCAATTGCTAATGTTTTAGTCATTGTCCATGGTTGGTTTAGTGTATTTCTACTGGGCTGTGGCTCACCCTATATGGGAATATCATTTTCAGGTGCAGGAAGCATGCCACCTCCAAGGACATAGCTGGGAGACTAGTGGCGGACATACTTTTGTCGCTTAACTTTTGATGTATTACATGTAACTTCAAGCCCAGGGCTTAATGTGTAATCGAGTTAGAACTCTTTTGTTGTAACCAAGTGTTAACTTGGAAAGCTGTAAGCCTGTAGGGCATTCTGTTATGATGTTAACATGTAATACTTATGTAATGGAATTCTAATGAATAAAGAAATGCGGTTAGTTTAAATGTAAATGCATGTCTTATTTGATGGGTTTAATGTTATTATTTTGAAGGCGTTTTAGAAAGTGATTCATTAATTACTTAGCTCTCAATCTTATCCCAAAAACAAAAGATTACTGAGCTCAACTATGCCCTTATTATTGAGCTATGCAGCCTCCAACATAAGTAAGAGTGAATTTCGCAAACAATTGAAATTTGTCAAAATGAGCTAATTAAGAAACATTCAAATTCCCAGAAGCATTTGGAAAGATATAGAGATATATATAAGTAAAGTGGAGTGTATTGAACTACAAATTGATAAATAAAATTGAACAAAAAGGTATGAGAGAGAGAGAGAGAGAGAGATTTATTGACCTGATCTCAAAATGGTGTCCAAAACCTTGAAAGCTTGTTCTTCAGTGAGAGCCCTAGTTGCAGACCTTGGCTTGAGCTTCCAATACAGTCTGATTGGGTTTCTGAAACTTGGAGCTCCGATACGAAGTCGAAACTGCCGGATTTCAGAAATCGGATTCTGGAATCCCTAGTTGATCAATCGTGGCAGAATCAATCACAGATTTCGCAGTGAACCGAGCTTTCCGTCGAATCAAATGGTGGTGGTGGTTTCGAGGATTGATGGGGGAGATGGTAGTTGAGTCCGAATTAAGCAGAGCTTTCATGGCGATTTCTGTGTCGCTCTCTGTGTCGCTCTCCGGCTATGGTGATGATGAGCAGCGGCGAAGGACAAAGAGGGAGAAGCGGAAAGAAGAAGAACAGAGAGGGAGAAAGAGATAAAGAGGGAAGGCTGAGAGAGACGTCGGTAGGTGGAAGGCTGAGGAAGAGAGACGTGGGTGAGAACAGAAAGGGAGAGAGAGACGTGGATAGGTGGAAGGCTGAGGGAGAGAGATATTTGAGCGGGAAAATATCTTACATCTTAAAAAATCTTTGTCCTTTATTATGATCTGTACCGTTAATATATTCTTAGAATTGATCTCAGTCATTGGATCAAAATGTATCTCACATACATTTTGATACATTTTCAAAAACCTTCCTCCCTTATTATATAGATGTTTCGGTTTATGGAAATATTATTGAATACGCCTTGAAATTGAAAGTTTAATTTGACATTGTATATGTTAAATGTTTTGTAGAAATGCAAATATATCATTAACATTGAGCATGTTATGGAATTATGGAATATGGTATTGGAAATTGTTGAATTTCAAAGAAAAAGCATGTTGTTAATGCATATTGAATTATATTGTGAATTGCCTCTTGAAAAGAGATGAGATGACCGATAATGGGTCAAAAAGTCGAATATGGAATTGCTTTATTTTTGAGAATTGAAAAATCAAAATTTTGAAACTTGCAGCCAATTTCGGGGACGAAATTCTTTAAAAGGGGGAGGTTATAGCGATCTCGGTTTTCCCTCCATTGGTTATTGTATTCCGAACTTGGTTCCTTAGATGTCAGTTGTTGTATATGTTTCTTTTCCGTTCTTTAATTCCTTGTATATGAGTTTTAGGATGTGTTGGGCAGGTTTGTAATAGGTTATTGTGATTAGAAACAAATGGTTGCTGCCCAGATTTTGGTGTCTTCGCTCGAGTGAGCTCTGTGTTTTAGCTCCTTCGCTCTCGCCAGGGTTTCTTCGCTCGAGCGTGTGTCTGCGCCTGGTTTTGGACCTGAAGGTTGCATTTCTTGGCTCGAGCAAGCTTTCCTTCGCTCGAGCGAGCGAGGACTATGTTTTGGGTTTCTTTGCTCGAGCGTGCTTCTGGGTTGTAGACCTGAAGCTTCGTATTGTTGGCTCGAGCGAGGCTTTCTACGCTCGAGCGAGCCTCGAATATATCAGTTGGCAGCAACGGGTTACACTTCAATTTTTCATCACCTTCTTTACACAAACCCTAGATCCAGATGCTCCTCTCTCCATATACACCTTCTCTCTAAGATTTCATCTACTCCTAGAGTGTTTCTAGCCTAATCTCTTTGTAAGAAAGATAGAGGGTGGAGTGGGCTTCACTTTAATCTAAAAAATTAGGGATTTGGAGCACTTTGTGTTTTCTTCATCTACTCCTTTGGGTTTCTAACTTCGAGGTAGGGATACCCTACTCCACTTATGAGTTTTGACATAAATTTTAGTCATTTTGATGAGATGGTGTTGTTTGGTAATTTTGGGAAAGTTTGGGTTTGATTTGAGGTTATAAAAAGGGGGTTTTCAAATGTTAAACCCACGTGTTTGTGAGACCTTGGAAAATGGAAGAATTGTTGTTAAATTGATGAAATTAAACCTTAGAATTGATATTTGAAAAGGGGAAAAATGCCCTAATTGTGTTGAATAATTAATTTGGGAAAATGCGAAATTGAGTTGAAAGTCATGAAATTGACAAGTTGTGGTATTGAATGGTGTAGTTGGTTTAATTAATCACTCACTTATGAAAATGTTGATAATTTATTTGTTTGATAAATTTATTATCTGTTTAAGATAACTGCTTTGGGCTATCGGTGGAGGATAGTCTTGATTGTTGTGGACATTGTATATTGATTAGGGAAAACTAAAACTAATCACTTGGAATATGTCATTGAATATGACGGTTGGAATAATACATCAAAATTGTGTATTGATTGATCATTGTATATGATGAACTGTTTAAATACATTGTATATGTATGTTGTTTGGGAGGAAATAGGGGATGTACTCCATGGTTTGAGAGAAGATAGGGGATGTACTCTCAAACCTTTTTGGGAGGAGATAGGGGATGGACTCCATTGATAATTGAAGTGTTGGAAGTGTTTTGATATGAGTGTAGTCTCATTTACTTGTTTGGCTAGATAATGAGCCATGTTTATAAATTTGAATTGGGAGTAAAGGAAGGTGTAATGTAATATGAACATATTTGTCATAGAACTGGAAAGTGTTGTAAGTTGGTTTACAAGTGTTAATCATCTATCGAATGCTAACGTTTTAGTAATTTCTTATATTTGATTTAGTATATCTCTACTGGACTTTGGCTCACCCTATATGGGACATCATTTTCAGGTTCATGTGATATGCCACCTCCAAGGACGTAGCTTGGGAGGCTTTGAGGCTGATAGCTCTTTTTTTGTTATTCTCTTTTGATATTACATGTAAATTCAAGCCAATGGCTTAAAGTGTATTTGAGTTAGTGCTCCCTTTTTGTAACCAAGTGTTGGCTTGGAAAGTTGTAAGCCCGTAGGGCATTTACTTTTGTTGTCAACATATAATAATTCTGTAATGAATACTCTGATAAATGGAAATATCCTTTATTCTCGTATGTCTATGGATATCTTGAATGTTGGGTTTATGTATTATTTTGAGGGCATTACAAAAATGCTCATACAAACAATTTCTTTCAAAGTTTAAAAAAAAAAAATTGTATTCTCAACCTGAAATCAAATCCTTATTTGTATTTATGAAATTTATCAAAAATCATGAATTTTACTTGTATCAAAATATATTTTCCTTAAAAAAAAATAAAGACAACAAAATATTCTATAATATACAAGTTATGACTTGGTTATAATTCAACTTTGTTTTGACCATAAAGAAAAGAACCCAAAACTTTGAGAGCTAAAGGAAATCCTTTAGCGTACTTTACTGCACAATGTACAAGTTCTCCATAGCCTCCCATTTGCTGGTGTTTCTTGAAGGCTTTCGATTTAAAGAGTTCTATAGCTTCATCTTCTCCTAATTCCTCAACCTTATAAATATGTTTTATGCCATATCTGATTAATGTATGTTGATTTCTAGTAGTTATAATGATTCTACTTCCAAAACCAAACCAATTAAGCTCTCCTACCAATTTTTCAAATTCTGTTGATTCATCCACTTCATCAAGAACAATATGAACCTTCTTACGGCATATCCCGTTCCTTATCGTACTTAAGGCACTACCAATATTTCCTACTTTCATATCTTTCTCCATTAAGATTTCGGAAATGAGTTGTTCGTGTAGAGTTTTCAGACCACCATTTTCTAAAACTTCTCTAACATTTTCAATGAAGCTGCAACCTTCAAATTGGAAAGAGATATGGGCGTAAATAGCACTTGCAAGAGTTGTCTTACCTATTCCACCCATCCCCCATATCCCCACAACACGAGCATCATCCAACCCTAATCCTACCAATTTAATCATTTCCTCCATACCAGAATCCATTCCAACTAGGTCTTCAGAAACACACGAATATGTATGATTTAATTTTCAAAAAAGTATCCCCACAAGTTTCTGGATGAACCTTGATTCAGACCTGTAGATTTAGGACAATAGTAAAAGAAATTTGTGAATCAAAACTCGAGACAGTTATAAAAACGTAAACTAACATTATTTTAATTGTCATTAATTTTGCTCATTGCAAGGGATGAAGATAATTATGGAACAGGACATATAAATGTGTAGAGACATACAGGTAGATAATTGAACTAAAATACATAAAATGTTGTTTCAAAACATAATTATTTTAGCAGAAATTACAAAAGAAAAAGCCCTCAAAGTTTGAACCTTATAACAAGGTAAATCCTGAGTTTTTAATTTTGTCAATTTTAATCCTAAACTTTTAATTTATTTTCAGTCTAAATCATTGCTTATTTTTATTAAGTATAATCAATTGAAATTTTAATCATTAAACTCAATATATTTTAAACATTTTATGTATATCTATATTGAGTTTAATAACTAAAATTATTACAAAATAATTTTTTCTCGATTTTTATTTAACGAGAATGATTCAGATTAAAAATAAATTAAAATATTTGAAGTTAAATTCTTGAGTTTTGTTTTTAAAATTTATAATTATCCCTTTATTTTATCTTGCATCGCACAACCAACTGGTAGTAAATCATAGGGAATAGAAAAAAAAAATGCAAAAAAGAAAAACATAATATTTTAATTTAATTTAAGTAATTAATGACCGTACAATGGACGGGAATTTATTTTTAAAATGAAAATTTGATTTTGAGTAGTATTATTTAATGTGTGGAAAATTTTAATAATTGAAAGTCAAATACAAAAAAAAAAAAGTTGTTAATGGTTGAGCAAAATTTTTGTCATTATGTGTGATTCTAGATAAAATGCTCATAGAAACAATTTCTTTCAAAGTTAAAAAATAATAATAATAATAATAATTAAATTCTCAACCTGAAATCAAATCCTTATTTGTATTAATCAAAATTTGCAAAAATCATGAATTTTATTTGTATCAAAATATATTTTCCTGAAAAAAAAATAAAAAAAAAACAACAAAAAATTCTATAATATACAAGTTATGACTTGGTTATAATTCATCTTTGTTTCGACCACAAAGAAAAGAACCCAAAACTTTGAGAGCTAAAGGAACTCCTTTAGCGTACTTTACTGCACAATATACAAGTTCTCCATAGCCTCCCATTTGTTGGTGTTTCTTGAAGGCTTTCGATTTAAAGAGTTCTATAGCTTCATGTTCTCCTAATTCCTCAACCTTACAAATATGTGTTGTGCCATATCTGATTAATGTGTGTTGATTTCTAGTTGTTATAACGATTCTACTTCCAAAACCAAACAAATCAAGCTCTCCTACGAATTTTTCAAGTTCTGTTGATTCATCCACATCATCAAGAACAATATGAACCTTCTTACGGCATACCTTGTTCCTTATCGTACTTAAGGCACTACCAATATTTCCTACTTTCAAATCTTTCTCCATTAAGATTTCGGAAATGAGTTGTTCGTGTAGAGTTTTCAGACCACCTTTTTCTAAAACTTCTCTAACATTTTTAATGAAGTTGCAGCCTTCAAATTGGCAAGAGATATGGTCATAAATAGCATTTGCAAGAGTTGTCTTACCTATTCCACCCATCCCTCATATCCCCACAACACGAGCATCATCCATCCCTAATCCTAGCAATTTAATCATTTCCTCCATACTAGAATCCATTCCAACTAGGTCTTCAGAAACACACGAATATGTATGATTTAATTTTCTAAAAAGTATCCCCACAAGTTCCTGGATGAACATTGATTTGGACCTGTAGATTTAGGCCAATAGTAAAAGAAATTTGTGAATCAAAACTCAAAACAGCTATAAAAACGTAAACTAACATTATTTTAATTGTGATTAATTTTGCTCATTGCAAGGGATGAAGATAATTCTAGAACAAGACATATAAATGTGCAGAGACATATAGGTAGATAATTGAACTAAAATATATAAAATGTTATTTCAAAACATAAATATTTTAGCAGAAATTATAAAAAAGTAAAAAAAACCCTCAAAGTTTGAACCTTAGAACAAGGTAAATCCTGATTTTTTAATTTTGTCAATTTAAATCCTAAACTTATAATTTATTTTCAGTCTAAATCATTGCTTATTTTTATTAAGTAAAATCAATTTAAATTTTAATCATTAAACTCAATATATTTTGAACATTTTATGTACATCTATATTGTGTTTAATAGCTAAAATTATTTTAAAATAATTTTTTCTCGATTTTTATTTAACGGGAATGATTTAGATTAAAAATAAATTAAAATATTAGAATTTAAATTCTTGAGTTTTTTTTTTGAATTTATAATTATCCCTTTATTTTATCTTACATCGCACAGCCAACTAGTAGTAAATCATAGGGAAACAAAAAAAAAATGCAAAAAAGAAAAACAGAATATTTTAATTTAATTTAAGTAATTAATGACCGTACAATGCACGAGAATTTATTTTTAAAATGAAAAATTGATTTTTAGTTGTATTATTTAATGTGTGGAAAATTTTAATAATTGAATGCCAAGTACAAACAAATTTGCTAATGGTTGAGAAAACTTTTTGTCATTAAGTGTGATTCTAGATAAAATGCTCATACAGACCATTTCTTTCAAAGTTTTTTTTTTAAAATAAAAAAAATAAAAAAAAATAAAAAATAAAAATTATTTTCTCAACCTAAAATCAAATCCTTATTTGTATTAATCAAATTTATCAAAAATCATGAATTTTACTTGTGTCAAAATATATTTTCCTGAAAAAGAAATAAATAAAAACAAGAAAAAATTCTATAATATACAAGTTATGACTTGGTTATAATTCATCTTTGTTTCGACCACAAAGAAAAGAACCCAAAACTTTGAGAGCTAAAGGAACTATTGGAAAAATGGTTTTTTTTTGGTGACTTTAATTAAAGATTAAAGTGGGTCCCAACCATCTATTGTGTTGGGTCCAAGTGGGTCTAGATACTTTGCATTGAGATCTTTACACCACAGATAGAATGGCCAAAAACCATTGAGATTTGAATGAGAAATTACCTCATGAAGTTAGCTTCATGGAAAAAAGGTAATAAAGTTTGTAACTCCTGCATTAATGGGGTTTGTAACTCCTGCATTAATAGGGTTTGTAACTCCTGCATTAATGGGGTTTGTAACTCCTGCCTTTATTGCAGAGGTTAATGATGCATTATGAATAGCCATAAAGGCTGGAGGCTCTTCCTCTCTCCCCTATACATGTATAAATTGAGACCCTCCTGTCAAGTCTCAAACACAGAAATTTTTACTTCCATTTCACAAGTCAGTTTGCCTGAAAGTTCCTACAGTGAGAGAGTGCTGCCACTGTTTTGTTCGCTAAGCTAGACAGAGAGTACTTCTGCCGTAGCTGGTTTTGACCGTCGTATCCTGGGAGACAGACGCCGGGATTCCTCAAGCACTCGACCAGTGAGGCGGCGAAATCTGTTTTAAGGAAACTGCTTCCGTGCAGGCTTCGGTTTCGTCTCTTTACCCTTTTATTGTTTTGTGTATTTCTGTTGAAATTTAGTTGTAATTATTAGCATGTGTTCTTAGTATATATATAATTTGATTTCTTCATAAATCTATTTATTTAATTTCAAAATTTGAACAACAGGAACTCTTTTAGCGTACTTTACTGCACAATGTACAAGTTTTCCATAGCCTCCCATTTGTTGGTGTTTCCTGAAGGCTTTTGATTTAAAGAGTTTTGTAGCTTCATCTTCTCCTAATTCCTCAACCTTATAAATATGTGTTATGCCATATCTGATTAATGTGTGTTGATTTCTAGTTGTTATAATTATTCTACTTCCAAAACCAAACCAATCAAGCTCTCCTAACAATTTTTCAAGTTCTGTTGATTCATCCACATCATCAAGAACAATATGAACCTTCTTGCGGCATACCCTGTTCCTTATCGTACTTAAGGCACTACCAATATTTCCTATTTTCAAATCTTTCTCCATTAAGATTTCGGAAATGAGTTGTTCGTGTGGAGTTTTTAGACCACCTTTTTCTGAAACTTCTCTAACATTTTCAATGAAGCTGCAACCTTCAAATTGGCAAGAGATATGGGCATAAATAGCACTTGCAAGAGCTGTCTTACCTATTCCACCCATCCCCCATATCCCCACAACAGGAGCATCATCCATCCCTAATCCTAGCAATTTAATCATTTCCTCCATACTAGAATCCATTCCAACTAGGTCTTCAGAAACACATGAATATGTATGATTTAATTTTCTAAAAAGTTTCCCCACAAGTTCCTGGATGAACATTGATTCAGACGCTAGAGGCAGACAGATTGTTTTGTTTACTTTCTTTTGATGTATTACATGTAAATTCAAGCCAAGGGCTTAATATGTATTGAGTTGGCACTCTTCTTTTTGTAACCAAGTGTTAACTTGGAAAGCTGTAAGCCCATAGGGCATTTGTTTTTGTTGTTAACATGTAATACTCTTGTAAGGATCTACTCTGATGAATAGAAAAATGTTTATTTCTTCTATCAATGCATGTCTAAATGGATGGGATTAATGCTATTATTTTGAGGGCGTTACAGAATGGATTCTAGTATGGAGGAAATGATAAAATTGCTAGGATTAGGGATGGATGATGCTCGTGTCGTGGGGATATGGGGGATTGGTGGAATAGGTACGACAACTCTTGCAAGTGCTATTTATGCCCATATCTCCTGCCAATTTGAAGGTTGCAACTTCATTCAAAATGTTAGAGAAGTTTCAGAAAAAGGTGGTCTGAAAACTCTACACGAACAACTCATTTCCGAAATCTTAATGGAGAAAGATTTGAAAGTAGGAAATATTGGTAGCGCCTTAAGTATGATAAGGAACAGGGTATGCTGTAAGAAGGTTCATATTGTTCTTGATGATGTGGATGAATCAACAGAACTTGAAAAATTGGTAGGAGAGCTTGATTGGTTTGGTTTTGGAAGTAGAATCATTACAACAACTAGAAATCAACATACATTAATCAGATATGGCATAACACATATTTATAAGGTTGAGCAATTAGGTTAAGATGAAGCTATAGAACTCTTTAAATCGAAAGCCTTCTGGAAACACCAACAAATGGGAGGCTATGGAGAACTTGTACATTGTGTAGTAAAGTATGCTAAAGGAGTTCCTTTAGCTCTCAAAGTTTTGAGTTCTTTTCTTTGTGGTTGAAACAAAGATGAATTATAACCAAGTCATAACTTGTATACTATAGAATTTTTTGTTGTTTTTATTTATTTATTTTTTCAGGAAAATATATTTTGATACAAGCAAAATTATTGATTTTTGATAAATTTGATTAATACAAATAAGGATTTGATTTTAGGTTGAGAATAATTATATTATTATTATTATTATTAACTTTGAAAGAAATTGTCTGTATGAGCATTTTATCTAGAATCACACATAATAACAAAATTTTTCCTCAACCATTAGCAAGTTTGTTTGTATTTGGCTTTCAATTATTAAAATTTTGCACACATTAAATAATTCGGCTCAAAATCAATTTTTCATTTTAAAAATAAATTCTCGTGCATTGTACGGTCACTAATTACTTAAATTAAATTAAAATATTATGTTTTTCTTTTTTGCATTTTTTTTCCTTTCCCTATGATTTACTACTAGTTGGCTGTGCGATGCAAGATAAAATAAAAGGTTAATTATAAATTTAAAAAAAAAAACTCAAGAATTTAAATTCTAATATTTTAATTTATTTTTAATCAAAATCATTCTCGCTAAATAAAAATTGTGAAAAAATTCTTTTAAAATAGTTTGAGTTACTAAACTCAATATAGATATACATAAAATGTTTAAAATATATTGAGTTTAATGAGTAAAATTTCAATTGATTTTGCTCAATAAAAGTAAGCAATGATTTAGATTGAAAATAAATTAAAAGTATAGGATTTAAATTGAAGAAATTAAAAACTCAGGATTAGCCTTGTCATAAGGTTCAAACTTTGACCTTTTTTTTTTAATTTCTGCTAAAATAATTATGTTTTGAAATAACATTTATATACTTAGTTCAATTATCTACTTGTATGTCTCTGCACATTTATATGTCCTGATCCATGATTATCTTCATACCATGCAATGAGCAAAATTAATCACAATTAAAATAATGTTAGTCTACGTTTTTATAGCTGTTTTGAGTTTTGATTCACAAATTTCTTTTACTATTGGCCTAAATCTACAGGTCTGAATCAATGTTCATCCAGGAACTTCTGGGGATACTTTTTAGAAAGTTAAATCATACATATTCGTTTGTTTCTGAAGACCTAGTTGGAATGGATTCTAGTATGGAGGAAATGATTAAATTGCCAAGATTAGGGATGGATGATGCTCATGTTGTGGGGGTATGGGGATGGGTGGAATAGGTACGACAACTGTTGCAAGTGCTATTTATGCCCATATCTCTTGCCAATTTGAAGGTTGCAGCTTCATTGAAAATGTTAGAAAAGTTTCAGAAAAAGGTGGTCTGAAAACTATACACGAACAACTCATTTCCAAAATCTTAATGGAGAAAGATTTGAAAGTAGGAAATATTGGTAGTGCCTTAAGTACGATAAGGAACAGGGTATGCCATAAGAAGGTTCATATTGTTCTTGATGATGTGGATGAAACAACAGAACTTGAAAAATTGGTAGGAGAGCTTGATTGGTTTGGTTTTGGAAGTAGAATCATTATGACAACTAGAAATGAACGTACATTAATCAGATATGGCAAAACCAGCAACACTAGGCTCCCGAACACAACCAACCTGTAACAAACCTGCCTAACACATCCTATAACTCAAATATGAAGAAAAAGGAATGTAAACACGATAATAATCAACTACCAACATCCACGGACACATGTCCGGATCACTGTACAACAAGGGTAAGCCCGGGATCGCTATAGAATCATTATGACAACTAGAAATGATCGTACATTAATCAGATATGGCAAAACACATATTTATAAGGTTGTGGAATTAGGAGAAGATGAAGCTATAGAACTCTTTAAATCGAAAGCCTTCCGGAAACACCAACAAATGGGAGGCTATGGAGAACTTGTACATTGTGCAGTAAAGTACGCTAAAGGAGTTTGTTTACTTCTCAAAGTTTTGGGTTCTTTTCTTTGTGGTCAAAACAAAGATGAATTAGAACCAAGTCATAACTTGGATATTATAGAATTTTTTGTTTTTTTTATTTATTTTTTTTCAGGAAAATATATTTTGATAGAAGTAAAATTCATGATTTTTGATAAATTCGACTAATACAAATAAGGATTTGATTTCAGTTTGAGAATATAAGTTTTTTTTTTTTAAAACTTTGAAAGAAATTGTTTGTATGAGCATTTTGTCTAGAATCACACATAATGATAAAAAATTTCCTCAACCATTAGCAAATTTGTTTGTATTTGGCTTTCAATTATTAAAATTTTCCACACATTAAATAATACTACTCAAAATCAATTTTTCATTTTACAAATAAATTCCCATGCATTGTACGGTCATGAATTACTTAAATTAAATTAAAATATTCTACTTCTATTCTGCTTTTCTTTTGTGCATTTTTTTTTCTTTCCCCATGATTTACTACCAGTTGGTTGTGCGATGCAAGATAAAATAAAGGGATAATTATAAATTTTAAAAAAAAAACTCAAGAATTTAAAATCTAATATTTTAATTTATTTTTAATCTAAATCATTGTCGTTAAATATAAATCGACAAAAAATTATTTTAAAATAATTTTAATTATTAAACTCAATATAGATATATGTAAAATGTTTAAAATATATTGAGTTTAATGATTAAAATTTCGATTGATTTTACTTAATAAAAATAAGCAATGATTTAGACTGAAAATAAATTAAAAGTTTAGGATTTAAATTTACAAAATTAAAAACTCAGGATTTACCTTGTTATAAGGTTCAAACTTTGACAGGGGTTTTTTTTTTTTTTTTTGTAATTTCTGCTAAAATAATTATGTTTTGAACTAACATTTTATATATTTTAGTTCAATTATCTACCTGTATGTCTCTGCACATTTATATGTCTTGTTCCATAATTATCTTCATGCCTTGCAATGAGCAAAATCAATCATAATTAAAATATTGTTTGTTTACGTTTTTATAGCTGTTTTTAGTTTTGATTCACAAATTTCTTTTACTATTGGCCTAAATCTACAGGTCTGAATCAATGTTCATCTAGGAACTTATGGGGATACTTTTTAGAAAATTAAATCATACATATTCGTGTGTTTCTGAAGACCTAGTTGGAATGGATTCTAGTATGGAGGAAATGATTAAATTGCTAGGATTAGGGATGGATGATGCTCGTGTTGTGGGGATATGGGGGATTGGTGGAATAGGTAAGACAACTCTTGCAAGTGCTAGTTATGCCCATATCTCTTTCCAATTTGAAGGTTGCAGCTTCATTGAAAATGTTAGAGAAGTTTCAGAAAAAGGTGGTCTGAAAACTCTACACGAACAACTCATTTCTGAAATTGTAACGCCCTCAAATTTAGGTACACAAACCAATCATTCATGATACCCATAAAGTGGAAAAGAAGCATTATGTTACAAGCATCAGAGTATTGTTTACAAAAAGTATTACATGTTGACAATAAAAGTAAATGCCCTACGAGCTTACAAAGTTTCTAAGTCAACACTTGGTTTCCACAAAAGAGAGTTCTAGCTCTTAACTGATTAAGCCCTAGGCTTGAATTACATGTAATACAAAAGATAACTACACAAATATAAGCCTCTGGCTCCTAAACCTCCCAAGTTGCATCCTTGGAGGCGTATCACCTGCACTTGAAAATGATGTCCCATATAGGGTGAGCCAACGCCCAGTACAGATATGCTAAACATAATATGAACAATAACTAAAACATTAGCATTTGATAAATGTTAAACTCATATAAACAAATGTGCATCTCTTTCATAACCACTGTCCAAACCAATTCATAGTTATGGTTCTGTCACGACCCCAAACCGCCCCTAGTAGTTTGGTGCCGTGATGGCCAGTAATCCGAGATTACCGAAGGCCAACTTTCAAAAATTTTCTCAATTAGAATATAATAAACGGGGCTCACAAATGCGGAAGCAATAAATCAAAATACAAGTGGTCCATAAGAGCAGTGCATAGATCAAATGTAATGACATACATGACATAGTTTCTCATTCGGTTGATAATAAACGAAATACATATCAGAATCTTGATCAAAAGGCTTCTAGAGCCGACATGTGCAAATACAATGATTACAAGCCAAAGAAGCATAATCTTCAATATTTGCTGACGTAAATACAATTTTTTTCCGACATAGAACAAGTCAAGCCGACATGACAAGAATCCAAAACAAGCTTTGGAAAACACATCTAGGCGTCGCCGCCGTCCTGCTCATCACCTACATATATATAGAGAGGGTGAGCTTGGATACTCAGTGAATGGTACTAGTAATAAAGGTTTTGCATGAATATAGCCGAAGTCTTTTGAAACGAAACATGCCAAAAACCATACGAATATTAGCCGAGATCTTTTCAAAGCAAAAACACATCAAAACTTTATCAAAACAAGGGATGAACCGTATTC